ATTCGGGAGTCTATCAGGTATAAACCTGATGGCATACCGACTTCAGATTGGTAGACTTCGCTGGCTAGGGCACGTATTGCGTATGCCCAGCCATCGTCTGCTGCACCGCGCTTTATTCGCTGTGGCTGATCCGGATTGGAGGAAACCACGTGGAGGTCAACAGATGACGTGGACATGAGGCATGAAGAAATGCACAGAGCCATTGGGTAGAGTAGGTGTCTCTCGCCTTCCAGGTTGGGGTCCGAAAGACTCCACAACTGGTTGGTTGGAGTCATTGAAGGATATGGCAGCGGACCGACAGCAGTGGTGTTCTTGTTGTCGTTTCTTATCAGGTCAGAATGCTTGAAACGGTATGTATGCAGAGTTCGATGGCGTACTCTGTGTGTTGACCATAGTGGCTCACCTTCTTCTCCCTCCCTCAAAATAGATCCAATCACTGTCCACCTTAAATTTTACCACTAACCTTGTATGCATTGCGAGTTTGGCAGCGATCAATGAAGTTCGCTTCACTGTATTTCGCTGGTACAATGATGATGATGATGATGATGATGATGATGAATGCCGGCCGAATACAGCTCCGCAAGCATCTAAACTATTCACAAAAGCTTGCAACTTACCTGAATCTTCATTTAGCGGTACAATGTAGTCTGCATAATCCAGATCAGACGGTCTGCCATCTGGGAGCAAATTGAAGACACTTCCGTCACGCGAGGATAGGTCTGTTTCAAGAATTAAATCCATGGCAAAAGTAAATAAAAAATGAAGAGAAAGAGAAACAGCATGCCTGAGAAACATCGCGTTCCGGGCTGAACTTGGACGCAAAAGTGCCGTAAGCTCGAACTCGATTTCGGCCATTCGTATAAAGGCAGCGCCACAAATGACCCTAACCAGTGTGTGATGACCGCAGTGTGACCAACATCCGGACATGGAACTACAGTGTATTTTTTTCCATTCTTTTCCTACCAAACATGATATAAAGTGTGATGTGGTAAACGAGCAGTAAGTTTCGTGTTCATGTGGTTCAACTCACAAACAATAGTGCTTGATAAAAATGTTGATGCAGCATACTTCGGAGTAGATGAATAATCAAATCATCGAAGCCTACTCGCACAACCGCAAAGGAGTGGTGTGCCCCGTCTGCCGAGGGTAGATTATAATCCCTGTTTGTGTGTATACGCATTCTTCCCACAACTGGGACTGAAGTACCAATGTGCAAATCAAAATGGCAGTTTTCATTTTGATTGTTTGTATTTATACTTGTCTCTCATCACGGATCACTCCACAATGGCTAAGATGGAGAGGAAGCAATCGAGAGCATTCACGGAAACGGAATACGTTCGATAAGCATCAGCAATTTCACCTCAGAAATCAGTTCAAGTCGCGCCACAGATTAGCAATAAAATCAAACCAGTCTACACAAACAAGTCTTAATGTTCCACGTGGAGTAACTAACCAAAAATTGTTGTCGTTCGAATAGATCTATACTTAACCGTTGGCATTCCGTAGAATGCAGACGAACAATCTAGCACGGATTCTAGTTCGACTCAGATTCATTTGTTCCCTTGTTTTCCACTCTTTCAGTTTGATTTAAGTGAAGAGTGTGTGTTTGATTTGACGTTAAAACACAATCTTGTTCGTTTATCACTCTCGCTCCTTACTCATAGACTCTATTTGGAAATTGTGCTCTTGAAAAATGGTCTCGTTAGTGGTTCAGATTTCGATCGCTGGAATGCACGTGGTAATACACACCGTGACGGTTTTCCATGAATGTTTTATTCAAAGTCATTACTAGTTCGTGTGTTTTTACCTCTGGGACGAACACATCCGCCCTCAATACTACTGACTGCTACTGCCATCATCCCCACCACTATAACAGTACTTAAATATGACTTGCAAGCCAAAACTGTCCAGTTTGACCCTGGCATTCCGTGATAACGAGACTACCAGTTTATGAACGTTTACTCTTTGGCTCACTAAGTGACCCACATTTCGAGCCCGGAGTTTGTTGTTTTTGGCAACGCACACTTTCGGGTGGTTTGACCGTTTGAATCGAAAGGGGGCCGTGGACGCATGGTTCACGATACCATACTGAATATCCGCACACGATCAGGTCGGTCAGTAAAGCCACGTTAGAGCCCTCGAGACGCTCAATTCAGATGTGTGCCGTGTCTCCGAAACACGCGTACAAGACTCCACTTCATTTGGTATGCTGTCTCCTTCAGGCCCAATCTTTGTTCCCTGTGTGTGTCAAGTGACACTCAACGCTCGTGTCGGTGTTGCTCTGTGTCAAGAATCCCTGCCCTCTTTTTGAACAGATCCAGTTCAGTATTCTACTGCGCGTGGTGCATTTCGACGTTCAGTGCGAGTCAAGTGAACCCGAGCGAAACTGCGCACCCTATCCACTGTATCCGTGTTCTCGACGTCTGAGTGCAGTTCACTGGAAATGAAAGATGACTTCTGAACTAACCTCTCCCGGCGGTTGCCAAGTATTCGCTCAACGGACATTTTAGTTGTCGCTGGGGGCTTACACGTTCAACCGAACGGACCATAGAGAGCGACTACCTAAACTCTGCACTGACCACGGATTGCTTCTTTTGAGCATCAGCTTCTCCCGTGAAAGGTGATATAGTAGTCGTAAATCGAAATTCGCTCACTGTTCTCACTGATGGACACAAATCAAACACATGCCAATCGACCACGGCTGGCGATGATCCATCCATTCACACTCACAGGTGAACACCCGTGGACATGAATCAAGCTCTGCTACGAGCCACATTCTGCGTACGCATGATAAACAACCACAACAACAGATGTACACAGTGCCGTGTAAACAAAACCTATAAGCGGGTGTTTGCATCGGAACTCATTCATCGATTCCCACCACTACCACTTGTCGAAGTACTCAATGAGCATTGAAAACTAATGAAAAAAGACATCTAGTCGTCCTTCAAAGCACTCATGGATTCTGACAATAAGAAAGTACGATTTATCTCTTCAATGTCCTCTGTACTATTGAACCCTCTCAAAACTATTCCTCTGAATGCCGACTATGGTACTACGCGCCAGTTGATTGACGACGAAGAGTGGTGACCAGGAGTATGTGAATTGCTGTGGAAAGCTATGAGTATTCAGTTTTGTAATAAATACGATTTAGGAAATGGTCCTGTTCTCATGGGAGGATCGGGAGATCAATGTGATTACAGGCAGTAGACTGTTTGACTTGGAGTACGCTATTTAAACAACCATGTCTCACCTGGTGGACACATCACAGATCAAGTATCATTAAGAATACAGAAAGCTCAGTTGGTATTACCGGACGATAATTATATTTAGTGCAGCTTTGTTTGTTCACGAAGGTGCGAATGCATTCTGCAGATGTCCGGCTAGTTCTCCAGAATGATGTAGTAGCTGCTGCGCGAATAGGACGAAGACAGACGAATAATGTTTGAACACTGTCGTTTACATTACCCCCGCCACTGGTCAAAAAATGACCTGATTAGGCGCAGAGTGATCGAGGTAGTCAAGGTCGAGCAAGTACTTGATCTGCATAAATTTAAGTGATTGGGACATGCGTTACATATGTCACCAAATAGGCTCCCGTGGCATGTGATGCTTGTCATGGCAGGTAGGGGTTGGAAGAAGGCCCATTTCCAACCAAGACCTAGACCAATGGAATAGCAAATCTATTTTGAAATCGATTACGACAATCAACCGCGTACACTGATTGTCACAATATGCACGCCTCATAAGTCATTGATGTGACCTATTCGATCCTGTTCCTCAATGAAATCGCGCAAAACACTGATGCAAAATCAGCGTTATTTTTTAAGAGACTTGGCATCGTGTGTGATCGTTGTCGTTGTCGTCACCAGTCGGATTTCAACGATATTGATGCATTGGTGCATGTTGCGCATTCTGAGGCAATTATATAATACAATCTGGCAGATAACAATAATAATAATAGCATTGAAATCGTTTCAGTATTACGTGATATTGCACTGATGCGTCATTGCGTTTATACCTTTATTGCTTTCACTTAGCAGTGCCAGTAGTGCACATACCTGTCATCGTACTTAGTATGGTCTGCCTATACATCTGTGCCAATCTGTCGATCAGCCCACAGCCTTGTTTCGAATTTCCGTGGCGAGTTGACCGTGTAGTTCTCTTTGATAGGTTGTAGTGTTTTTCACGGAACAACAATGATCACTTCGCGTATCACCGATCTATTTGCCGGTAGCATTGTGGGCCTGATGATTCTGCAACCACTTAATTTGGTGTTGCGATAATCGAGAAGTTGAAAATTGTGAATGACGTTATTTTTAATTTTTAATTATTGATAAATAATCCCGAAAGAGCATTTGTTTTTTCCTACTTTGTTTTACCATAGGAGATACGGTGCTACCGATTGAAATTGGTCTTATTTTCTGTTTCGCCGGGCAGAGGTATAGATCACTTCCAACCGTTTATTCATCCATCGGAGTTTTCGAGTTCGATCATGAATCGAATTGGTTACGCACCTTGATATCCGTAGATAGAAACATTCGAGTTTATCTGAACTGGTATTTGTCTGATGTAATACATGTCATATAATGCGCGGTTGTTTTCGACCGTTCGAGCTTGTTGTAAATGCTGTTGTTCGCTGATGTGATTGAGGGCCAATCGCCTACAACTTTTAGTGAGTTGAGGTTTTGTACGTGGACAGAGTGGCACAGGTGAGATTAGGGAGGGTGATTTTTAGAGAGGTGAGCGATACGTTAACACCAGTTGACGCGACCTTTCCACAATCAGGTCAGCGTTACTGAACCGAGATAACGGTATTGGCACAGTCATCCGGTCAGAGTCCGGGTTCTCTCGCTCCATGATAGTACTTCTACCAGCCGCTAACTTACAATTAATAAACTTTCTCCATTTATTATTCGAGTAAGTTGTCGCAGATATAATTAAAGATACATTCTTTATGCAACACACGTGCTATTTGGAATGTTTTTCGCGGAAAAGTTGTGTTCCTAGTTTCGTTGATGCGGTTCAGTCCTTCTGGGTTTGATTCCCGTTCCGATTCTTGACTTGACCATTAAGTCTGTCAGTTCAGAATAGAAAGTTTTCCTCACTCATCGTTCATGCCACTTCCGAATAACTTCGATTGGTCGATGCTACCTGTCATCCTCAGTCTGACTAATCATTACTGTTTAGATTACTCTTGGTGTCGTCATCGTTTCTCTCTCTCTCTCTATTTACCCAATTTGCAAGTTTGAGCGTCATGGGATTATAATGTTCAATATCAATGTGGTTATTGAAATCACTTATCCTTCAGATGGTATCTGAATCGATGGCCTAATAAGATTCACTGTTTCTTTTGAATTAGCATTACACTTTGATCGTTTGTCTCATTCTGGTCTGTCTTGTTCTCTCTCTCTCGCGCGCACGTAGAACTGGAAGACTGGCTGTTCGAGCAAATGGGTGTGATCGGTCTGAGCGAAAACGGTGTTTCTGCGGAAACCCAAATAACCGGGGATTCCGATACTACCATTAAACGCAAATATGAAGAACACGCGCGGTTGCTGATGCAGCAAACAAAGGCGTTAAGAGATCAGCTACAAGCGACACGATATGTCATCGCACAGTTAGAGTTACAGGGAATTCCGGTTGGAATTTCCCCGAAATTGTACGTCCGTCAGCTGTTGAAAGGTCGCAATCGGGGTTCTTCTGGGCAGCCTCCCATGAAACCGGGTATGTGCCTTCATTGACGATTATTTTATTTTTGTTTTTCTCTGTTTAGTCACATCACAATCGTTGTAGCGACGAACGGCTGTAATAACTTCATGTCAAATTTATTGTTACAACCTTACATCATAGGACAGCTTATTGTTTCGACCATTATAGTCTTAGCGTATATTATAGGAGTAGATTCGACGAATAAGGTAAAAAGCTGTTTGACTGAGTTTTGTTTTGGATGAAATACTTGGCAGACCCAAATTTTCATCTGTCCGTTCGAGAATGGGTTCCGAACATGCTTGATAGCTTGCGTTGAGATTTCGATTCTGTTTCTGTTCCCGTTGACTCTAACTAATTTGGTAATGCAGACCGGGGACAAGGTTCGAAATTTGCACAGCCTGGAGGACACCACTGAATAGCGTTATACCTGAAAAGAGAGAAGAGATCGCTTATATCATTTTACCAGCACGTGGAATCATCGGTGAATGATCTTCGACCTTTGGACTCATATAGGCTCAGTTTTTGATTAATATATACGGACGTAAAGAACCATCACCACTTTTTAGTGTGACTACTTATTTGTTCAGAACGGCACAACATCTGGCATTGTCAAAGAATGATGTTTTATTTCACATTCGGTTCCACGTTACCCGTAGTACTAAAGCGTTTGAACTCATTCTACCAAGTAATAAGCATTGAGTATATCGACGTAGTGATCTCGATCAAGAACACGACTTCCCACTTGTTCCCCGCCTCATTAAAATGTCCTCAACGATGTTGTTCATATCGCTGATGGTCTTTCTTTCTTTATCTCCCTCTTCACACCGAGCCACACAGTGATTACTGTAGTCCAGGAGTGCTCCCAGCGATAGGTTATCTGTAGAGATTTCGTCGAATTCAAACATTCCATCAAGCTTTGGGTATACAATTCCAGGAGAAATTATAAGGGTGCACGCCATTCCAGTCAGCTGGATGGACAGCGCAGGTCGCCCACTTAAACTGTGCGCGGACCACCGATTGTTCCCCAACGAGTGCTAGCTTCTCCCACAAGTTATGCTGGGTAGATGAACAAAGTTTATCTCAGATCAAGCGGTTCATACACCTCTGTGAATTGTATTAAACTTATTCGAGGTTCGAAACATCTGCTGACGGCTTGTGAAATTTACCAGTCGGCCATTCTTTCTCGTCCGTTTCAACAGGGGACGCTGACATTTTACAGCGGTCGTTCGTACTTGCTCAGTTCAAGCTATTCCTAGGGCGGTCCGATGGATAAATTAAAGGAAAAGTGTTTGTGAGTGAGTAAGTGATATGGTTATACATTAGTGAACTAGTCGCTGACATGTGAGAAGAGTTTGATTGGAAATAATACAACGCCTCATCCGCAACAGTACATGAAGTAGGTTTACAATAAACAGATTCAGTGATAAAGACGAGGCATTATTTGTCCAAACCATGAGATCCTTTGGGAACGATGACCGTCATCGACATTGCTACCAAAATGATTCCACAAGCACTCGCTAAGGTTGGACAATATTCTTCGTATCGTTGAAGAACTGGAGTTCTGGAAAACAGTTGATGTTTTTTTCTGTTTTTGGAGTTATTTGGGTTATCTCATTCATCGCGAGTGGATCGCTTGTATACCAGAGAAAAAGAATTGTACGAGTGTACTGTTTACTTCAAATCATGTTGAATCATCATTCGAAGTTTAAATGTTTTTTTCCACACTATTTGATCTGTTCGCAAACAAATTCTATTTGTGTATATGTGTTGAGCACATCTGTCTTTTCTAATGCGTAACACTTTTCTCAAGTCGTATTTTGTCTTTTGCCGTGTTGATACATTGATAAATTTTTGATCAGGTTTGATTTAAGTTTTGTCACACTATTTGTTCTTCGCGCGTTAACTCACGGCCGTCAGCACCTAGTACAGAACTCATGTGGTCAAACGTCGGAACGGAAGTTGCTGGTTGATTTGTCCCTTAGCAAACGCATTCTCGCTGAGGCTCCAAATTCGACGGTCTGCTTTTCTCTTGGGTTATCTCACATCTTGAAAAGCCAGAAAACCCGTACGAAAGCATACCACTCCATAGTCGAAAGACCCTTATAATATTCTCTCGTTCAAGTGGCCTGTAGAACTGGAAATTAGTTTCCACCGAAAAAAATTGTAAACAGTCATCACTCTCCCTCTCTCTCTTTTACGCCTGCGACGGTATCGAATTCAGGTAAACTTACAACAAACATCTTCACAAGAACCACTTTCACAAACACTGAGGCCTCCTGTGGTTGTAATTTCGGTCGGTTGACCCCGGGAGCCAGTATTTGTGTTGATCGAGATAGCCAACAAAAGTAACACTCCACAATTATTCACAGTGGTTCGACTTCCTCTACAACTCGTTTTGTAGAAGTGACAGGTACAATTTTGATTTCCGGTTGTTTGTCTCCTCCGTTTTGTGGTACACTCGAATGTTTCGGTTCTAGAAACTGAAACTGAAACACTTGAGTTGACCAACGTAACTGAAAACCGCGGAAGTACGGATCTGAGGATGTAGTGTGCAACACACACAAGTGATCGGCTTCTCACATTTTATTGTTATCCTAGCAACCTTTGGGTTTTATCCTCTTATACAAAGTATAGCGGCATAATCATGAGTTATTAAAAACAATTGTTCGCCTGAAATTATGTTCTAAATGCGAGTATGGGCATATTTCGAAATTTGTTTCATATATATTTGCTTTCTCCCTATTCTGTCTATCGATTGCAACTGTGGTCATTGAAATTTCTACTCTCCAAAGTTTGCATAATCCTGGAGCTCGGGAAAATTAGAGCACTGGTTCATTCGATTCATTTATATGATAAATTTCGTCATTTACAAAGCTCCCTAAAGATCAAGTGGGTAGTATGCTTGCATTCTACCTGTGAGGTCACTGGGTTCAATCTGGAGTTGGGTCGATTGATTCTCCCTGCTAATGAAACCCAACGAGATCGAAACAGCTGTACAGCACCTCCTAGCCTTTCAGTTGGGCTTCATTTTCTCCTTCCGTAACGAGACTAAAAAAAACATTCAATGCAATTGAGATGTCACACGTATCCGATTGGCGAACTGATCATCTCACTGATTTACGCTCAGACAACCAGAGAGCCTTCCGTGCTCCTTTTATACGTATTCATCTTGACAATACAGAATTGGTTAGGGTCATTTTCATCGGCTTGTAGAGTTGCGCAATTGCTTTACTCGGTTGTTCTCTTACTAGCCGACTGAGCCGCTATCAGATAGGAAAAGTATCATTTCTCTAGAGGAGAGTTGCTCTCTCTCTCTCTCTCGAAATATAGATTACACAAACAGATCTTAAACCGATGAAATATTTTTCTATTGGATCACGAGGTCTCAGTTAACGCCGTGCTCACCGAGTCGTTGTATTCATCGTTTACTTTTATCAGTGCAGAGCAAACGCTATGGGCTTCATGCGCGCAAGATTGTGATTCAGTTAGCTTGCCAACCAATGCAGTTAATCTTTTTTGCTTGCACTCTTCAGCGCTATGTTTTGGGTAGATGTTTGTTATATCTCTGAGTTTCGCTGAACAAAACGCGTTTAATACTATCTAAAACGAATCAACGGTTATTTGATGATTTCTTAACTATCTTGTTTTGTCATCTGTCTCTTGTTTTTCTTTTTATCGTGACACTTGGGTGCCATAGAGCCGATTCCTGCTACTCTAGTCAACGAGACCAGTGCATACGGAGAACCTACTGAACCTGCCTCTTTACCCTTCCCCACTCGATTTGAGCGATCTGCTCCAGCACGTTCAGCTAGCACATTGCCGCCCACTGTGCCACAGCGTTCTTCTCCACCCCATACCAGACAATCGAAAACGCTGCCTGCCGGAACCGATTATCTCCCGGCGCCTATCCCCAAACGCCCATCGAATGCGTCGTTCAAGGCATTACCCATCCCTGAAGGAAGCCAACCGTGGAACGATTTGAAAACCGTGGTTTCATCTGCGTCGCTGTTAGCCCAAGCCCTTGACCCGAATAGTCAAGTGATCAGTATCCCTCCAAACACAATTCACACGGGTTCACCACACACGTCCATCGTCTCCTACCCCACATCTCCGGAAGCTGTGATTGAAGATTCAGTGGACCGTGGGCCGAGACAGACCGCGCGCATTTATCAGACAAGCGCCACAGGCAAACACCAACCTACACATTCAACTAACGTGCTGCACACAGTTCGTCAAGGTCTCGAGTACGTACCACCTACTTATTCAATCATATCTCAGGTTTCGGTTCCCATTTTCACTGTAATGATTCACGGTTTACAGCCGATGCAGCACACAAATAGCCATTAGAATATAGTTTTGTTGTGTGTCAATAAATTCGTAACTTCGGTACTAGTGCATCACGCTTGTGCTTCATGCTTGGTTCCACACGGATCCGATTGCTTGTTTGTTCCGTGCAATATTTTCATTTTGATCGAATTTTGGGCACCAGGCTGGCGTTTATCACTTTAAATCACAAGCTCCTTATTCTGTATATGATTCACTCGTATCGTGCTAAGCACCAATGTGGTGGCACCACAGCTGTGCGTGTATGCACGTGTGATTTGTGTACTGATCCGTTTGACACATCAGTCACCCACATTCGTCAGCAGACTGTTTGTATTTGCCAATTCGCTGAATCCTGTCATAGATTTAAAGCTCGGTACATCACATCAGGCCTTGCATCGGCTCTGACAGTCCGCGTTCGTGTTACCGTGTATTGGGCTTCGCAACACAATCTTCCTTTATTTGACATTTGAAGATAGATAAATAACGAATGACGGATATTAATATGGAGTTATCATCTTGTTAGTTCCATGGATATTCTAATCAGTTCCCAACAAAATCTAAAACATTTCAATTTGAGTTGCTGATCCTTTTAGCTCTTGAATCATGGATTTCGTCGTGTATACAGCAAAGGTAACATGAGATAAATAATTGAAATGAATAATTGTTTTCATCTCATTGAGTTATGACCCCCGAAAACTAGCTAATGAATTAACGCATATTGCTCGTAATAAACTCGCAAACCGGTGCTGTATTGTCTGTGGATTAGTTAGTTATTCAATAAGTAAAGGGGTGTTCCGTCTCCACTATGTTTGCCAGTACTCTAATTTCGTCCCCCATTCGGCCAGTGAGTTCATACCGCATGTTAGTTTGACTTGGGCTATTTCTTCCTAGCCTTCCAGTTCACGTTTCCTTTTTACTCCGACTACGCTTAGTTGAATCCTACAGTCGAACTACTTGCTCTCTTTCAGAATTATTACGTTTTCCTGATTCTTTCCATTCAACCCTGCTCTCTTCATTCGTTCAGTTTTATCACTTATCTGCTTGAGGTTATTTAGGTTCCAGTAAATAACATTCAGAATCACTGCAAATGTTACGTCGTTCTTCATCAGTCCCCTTACTAACTTTAATCCAATAAGACTCAATCAAATAGCTACTGACAACTGAGGAATTATCTAAGGTGGCGGGGTTTCACGCACTTCTCACTTTGTGGCAAAATTCCTGCTAGTTATCATGTGAAATTCTTACTGCTGGCTTCTCGTTGGTCAGGTCGATTACTAGTCTTGATCCGCGTTTGCTGATCTCAGACCCATATTGCAGCCAGTCATGTGGCCACCAACAGACCAATATTTCATCTACTGTCACAGTATGCATGGTAGGAAGTTGTGTGTATGTGTGTGTGTGTGTTAACGAGAGAAAGAGATCATTTTTCGTGTTCTCTGGATGGTTTTTCACGCGAGACAATTTAATTACCCCTAAGAATACGCTTCTGTACGGTCCATTTTTTTTCGATAACCACCAACTTCACCTAGTTAATGTAATACAACACATCATTTTTCAACCGTATAACTCATCTACCACTTATGTAATATATTTGTATTATGTATATGATATTATACTCTCTCTCTCTCTCTCTCTCTCTCTCTCTATAT